GCAGAGATCTGCAGTCCAACGCGCTAAACGAGTCCATTCCAGATGCCATCTCGGAGATGACTGCTCTCACAGGCCTGTGCGTGCCATTTCATTCGCATCTCATCTTACATCACCCTTGCATGCTTTTGGCGCATGCATAAGTGTCACCTCTTCCACTCTTATCACACCATCACTAGCACATGCACCTTCACGTGCTCCCATGTGTCACATCTTCCGCTCTTCTCACACCATCGCCTCTCACGTCTCATGACTCACGCCATGAATGCATACAGCATGGTTGTTTCCCTCCCTCACCATGCTCTCTGCATGCCCTCATCCTCCTCCTCCATGTGCCTTCACAGCCCGACTCAGCAGATTTCACCGTTCCCTGTTTCCCTCCCATGCCGCCTGTGCACGTCTCGCTCCCATGGCCCCCTCGCATGTCTCACTCCCATGCCTTGCCTCACGCTCATGCCTTCCTCCCTCACTTCCGCACCATCACCACACCTCACATGCGATAAAACATACTCAAAGAGTGCATCCACGGCCCTTTTTGAGTTGACTCAAAAGTCAACATACTCAGTTTTTGAGTCGACTCAAAAGTCAACATACTCAAAGAGTGCATCACGGCCTTGCAACCCACATGTCCCCATCGTACAGCCATCTCTCCAACAACCAGCTCTCTGGTGCCATTCCCCCCGGAATCAGCGCCCTCACAGCCCTTCAGCAGCTGTAAGTGTGCCTGTCATTGCCAAGCCAGGTAGCCTTACACATCCCAGCATCCCGTAGGCTTTGCTTGGTGGAAGGGCATTGTTGGATTCTTGTCTGCCTGCCTTGGCCCTCAGGCTCAGGGTAGATAACGATCGGGTTGGATACACTTGTGTGCTCTTTCGTGCTTGTGTCTTCTCCTGCTCTCCTCCCACCACCCCCCCCCCCCAACCCCCCGCCACCCCGCATCTGATGTTGTCTCTCTGTGCGGTCATGTAATCACTCTCTCACCCCCGCAGCTTCCTCGCGCGCAACATGCTCACAGACAGCATTCCCGCTGAAATGGGCAGCTTGGTGCTGCTTCATTACCTGTCAGTGCAATGAGTGGCCCTCTCACTCACTCCCAGTTGCCACCAGTGGAATGACTGTCTTACTCACTCCCAGTGCCCGCCGCTCCGCACCGCACTCTGCTGAAACTCTCCACCCCAAACACACATTCTTGTGCCGAAGCATGCATGCATGCAGGCATATGCTCTCGCATGCCCCATGCTTACTCATTCCTCGTTCATTCCACGCCTCGCTTACACCCTCTCTCACACCTCCTGTTCTCACACCTCCTGCTCTCACACCTCCTGCTCTCACACCTCCTGCTCTCACACCTCCTGCTCTCACACCTCCTGTTCTCACACCTCCTGTTCTCACACCTCCTGTTCTCACACCTCCTGTTCTCACACCTCCTGTTCTCACACCTCCTGTTCTCACACCTCCTGTTCTCACACCTCCTGTTCTCACACCTCCTGCTCTCACACCTCCTGTTCTCACACCTCCTGTTCTCACACCTCCTGTTATCACACCTCCTGTTCTCACACCTCCTGTTCTCACACCTCCTGTTCTCACACCTCCTGTTCTCACACCTCCTGCTCTCACACCTCCTGTTCTCACACCTCCTGTTCTCACACCTCCTGTTCTCACACCTCCTGTTCTCACACCTCCTGTTCTCACACCTCCTGTTATCACACCTCCTGTTCTCACATCCCATGCTCTGTGCTTTTCCATTCTGGTCTTCGTCCTCCTTCAGCCTGCCAATCACCTTGGTCCTGCCAATCACCTTGGTCCTGCCAATCACCTTGGTCCTGCCAATCACCTTGGTCCTGCCAATCACCTTGGTCCTGCCAATCACCTTGGTCCTGCCAATCACCTTGGTCCTGCCAATCACCTTGGTCCTGCCAATCACCTTGGTCCTGCCAATCACCTTGGTCCTGCCAATCACCTTGGTCCTGCCAATCACCTTGGTCCTGCCAATCACCTTGGTCCTGCCAATCACCTTGGTCCTGCCAATCACCTTGGTCCTGCCAATCACCTTGGTCCTGCCAATCACCTTGGTCCTGCCAATCACCTTGGTCCTGCCAATCACCTGGTGGTCTGCCAATCACCTTGGTCCTGCCAATCACCTTGGTCCTGCCAATCACCTTGGTCCTGCCAATCAGCTTGGTCCTGCCAATCAGCTTGGTCCTGCCAATCACCTTGGTCCTGCCAATCAGCTTGGTCCTGCCAATCACCTTGGTCCTGCCAATCACCTTGGTCCTGCCAATCACCTTGGTCCTGCCAATCACTTGGTCCTGCCAATCACCTTGGTCCTGCCAATCACCTTGGTCCTGCCAATCACCTTGGTCCTGCCAATCACCTTGGTCCTGCCAATCACCTTGGTCCTGCCAATCACCTTGGTCCTGCCAATCACCTTGGTCCTGCCAATCACCTTGGTCCTGCAATCACCTTGGTCCTGCCAATCACCTTGGTCCTGCCAATCACCTTGGTCCTGCCAATCACCTTGGTCCTGCCAATCACCTTGGTCCTGCCAATCACCTTGGTCCTGCCAATCACCTTGGTCCTGCAATCACCTTGGTCCTGCCAATCAGCTTGGTCCTGCCAATCACCTTGGTCCTGCCAATCAGCTTGGTCCTGCCAATCACCTTGTCCTGCCAATCACCTTGGTCTGCCAATCACCTTGGTCCTGCCAATCACCTTGGTCCTGCCAATCACCTTGGTCCTGCCAATCACCTTGGTCCTGCCAATCACCTTGGTCCTGCCAATCACCTTGGTCCTGCCAATCACCTTGGTCCTGCCAATCACCTTGGTCCTGCCAATCACCTTGGTCCTGCCAATCACCTTGGTCCTGCCAATCACCTTGGTCCTGCCAATCACCTTGGTCCTGCCAATCACCTTGGTCCTGCCAATCACCTGGTCCTGCCAATCACCTTGGTCCTGCCAATCAGCTTGGTCCTGCCAATCACCTTGGTCCTGCCAATCACCTTGGTCCTGCCAATCACCTTGGTCCTGCCAATCACCTTGGTCCTGCCAATCACCTTGGTCCTGCCAATCACCTTGGTCCTGCCAATCACCTTGGTCCTGGGCCCATCACAGCTACCTGGGCTACAACAAGCTGGGAGGCTCCATCCCTGACGCCCTCAGTACCCTCACCAACCTGCTCCACCTGTCAGTCGCTCCCATTTCATGCTCCCCCTGCCTCACAGCCCGTTCGTGCCCTTCCCTTACGCTCACGTCATAACTGTGCATTGCTCTCCCTGCATCCCTGCATTTCTCTCCCTCCTGCAACCATGCCTGCATTAGCGAGAGTTAACCGATTGGCATGTTGCTCGCAACTCTTCTTTCATCACTCTAGCCAGACTTAGCCTCTATGGTCGTGCATCACTCTCCCGCTCCCACGTCTTGTTTCAAACTTTATCACAGCCAATGTGTGACTGCCTTCATCCCGTGCCGCATACTGCGTGCTGCTCGCAGGACCATGGCCAATAATGAGCTCGAAGGGACCATCCCTGCCTTCCTCTCTTCCTTCAAAACACTCGTCCACCTGTCAGTGTTCCCACATATCCACCCGTCAGTGTTCCCACATACCCACCTGTCTCCCTCCCTCCCTCCCTCCCTCCCTCCCTCCCTCCCTCCCTCCCTCCCTCCCTCCCTCCCTCCCTCCCTCCCTCCCTCCCTCCCTCCCTCCCTCCCTCCCTCCCTCCCTCCCTCCCTCCCTCCCTCCCTCCCTCCCACGCTCACTCCCCGCATCCTTCCCATCCTCCATCCATTCACTGATTCCTGCCATTGACCATCTCTCCTCCCCCCCAGCGTGCTCTACAACAACCAGCTCTCAGGCTCCATTCCTGCTGACATTGGCGGCTGCGCTGCTCTAGAGTCACTGTGAGAACCGCACTTCTCTTTCTTTCTTCCTCTCTCCTCTCTTCCTCTCTTCCTCTCTTCCTCTCTTCCTCTCTTCCTCTCTTCCTCTCTTCCTCCCTTCCTCTCTTCCTCCCTTCCTCTCTTTCTCTCTTCTTCCCTTCCTCCGTTCCTCCCTTCCTCCCTCCTCCCTTCCTCCCTTCCTCCCTTCCTCCCTTCCTTCCTCTCTTTCTCCCTTTCCCCCCCTCCCTTCCTCCCTTCCTCCCTTCCTTCCTCTCTTTCTCCCTTCCCCCCCCTCCCTTCCTCCCTTCCTCCCTTCCTCCCTTCCTCTCTTCCTCCCTTCCTCCCATCCTCCCTTCCTCCCTTCCTCCCTTCCTCCCTTCCTCCCTTCCTCCCTTCCTCCCTTCTTCCCTTCGTCCCTTCCTCCCTTCCTCCCGTCCTCTCTTCCTCCCTTCCCCCCCTTCCCTCCCTTCGTCCCTTCCTCCCTTCCTACCTTCCTCCCTTCGTTCTCCTTCCCTTCTCGATCTCTTATTCCCTCATGTCCCTCCTGTCTACTCCAATCTGTTTTCCATGTTCCATCCGTGCTCTTTCTCTCACCATTCCCCCCATGCTAGTCGCACCCACACACACGCACTCGCTGTTTGCTCACTTTCCCTACAGATCTTTGCCACCCTTTCTTTCTAGAATGCTTACCCTGACAGAACCCACCCCCTCGTGTCTCCTCTGTTCTGAACCCTGTCTGTTCTTCCACCTGCCTTCTCCTCCCGTCCTCTCTTCCTCCTCGCTCAGTGTGCTATCCAACAACCAGCTGACAGGGGACATACCCACTTCCATAGGCTCCATGACATACCTTAGTACCCTGTGAGGGAGGGAGGGAGGGAGGGGAGGGAGGGAGGGAGGGAGGGAGGGAGGGAGGGAGGGAGGGAGGGAGGGAGGGAGGGAGGGAGGGAGGGAGGGAGGAGGAGGGAGGGAGGGAGGGAGGGAGGGAGGGAGGGAGGGAGGGAGGAGGGAGGGAGGGAGGGAGGAGGGAGGGAGGGAGGGAGGGAGGGAGGGAGGGAGGGAGGGAGGGAGGGAGGGAGGGAGGGAGGAGGAGGGAGGGAGGGAGGGAGGGAGGGAGGGAGGGAGGGAGGGAGGGAGGGAGGGAGGGAGGGAGGGAGGGAGGAGGGAGGGAGGGAGGGAGGGAGGAGGAGGGAGGAGGGAGGGAGGGAGGGAGGGAGGGAGGGGAGGGAGGGAGGGAGGGAGGGAGGGAGGGAGGGAGGGAGGGAGGGAGGGAGGGAGGGAGGAGGGAGGGAGGGAGGGAGGGAGGGAGGGAGGGAGGGAGGGAGGGAGGGAGGGAGGGAGGGAGGGAGGGAGGGAGGGAGGAGGGAGGGAGGGAGGGAGGGAGGGAGGGAGGAGGGAGGGAGGGAGGGAGGGAGGGAGGGAGGGAGGGAGGAGGAGGGAGGGAGGGAGGAGGGAGGGAGGGAGGGAGGGAGGGAGGGAGGGAGGGAGGGAGGGAGGGAGGGAGGGAGGGAGGGAGGGAGGGAGGGAGGGAGGGAGGAGGGAGGGAGGGAGGGAGGGAGGGAGGGAGGGAGGGAGGGAGGGAGGGAGGGAGGGAGGGAGGGAGGGAGGGAGGGAGGGAGGGAGGGAGGGAGGGAGGGAGGGAGGGAGGGAGGGAGGGAGGGAGGGAGGGAGGGAGGGAGGGAGGGAGGGAGGGAGGGAGGGAGGGAGGGAGGAGGGAGGGGAGGGAGGGAGGGAGGAGGGAGGGAGGGAGGGAGGGAGGGAGGGAGGGAGGGAGGGAGGGAGGGAGGGAGGGAGGGAGGGAGGGAGGAGGGAGGGAGGAGGGAGGGAGGGAGGGAGGGAGGGAGGGAGGGAGGGAGGGAGGGAGGGAGGGAGGGAGGGAGGGAGGGAGGGAGGGAGGGAGGGAGGGAGGGGAGGGAGGGAGGGAGGGAGGGAGGGAGGGAGGGAGGGGGAGGGAGGGAGGGAGGGAGGGAGGGAGGGAGGGAGGAGGAGGGAGGGAGGGAGGGAGGGAGGGAGGGAGGGAGGGAGGGAGGGAGGGAGGGAGGGAGGGAGGGAGGGAGGGAGGGAGGGAGGGAGGGAGGAGGGAGGGAGGGAGGGAGGGAGGGAGGGAGGGAGGGAGGGAGGGAGGGAGGGAGGGAGGGAGGGAGGGAGGGAGGGAGGGAGGGAGGGAGGGAGGGAGGGAGGGAGGGAGGGAGGGAGGGAGGGAGGGAGGGAGGGAGGGAGGGAGGGAGGGAGGGAGGGAGGGAGGGAGGGAGGGAGGGAGGGAGGGAGGGAGGGAGGGAGGGAGGGAGGGAGGGAGGGAGGGAGGGAGGGAGGGAGGGAGGGAGGGAGGGAGGGAGGGAGGGAGGGAGGGGAGGGAGGGAGGAGGGAGGGAGGGAGGGAGGGAGGGAGGGAGGAGGGAGGGAGGGAGGGAGGGAGGAGGGAGGGAGGAGGGAGGGAGGGATGCGAGCGAGGGAGGGAGGGAGGGAGGGAGACGAGCGATTGAGTGTGAGTGGTGATCAGGTGGATGGGTGCTCGCCTATTCTTTGAGATGAGTTTTGAGGTTGATGCTCAGTCCTCAAAACTCACCTCATTATCACGTGGATGTCCTGTCCTATGCCATGGGAGATGGGTTCAGCATGTGAACCAGGAGAATTTGTGAGCGGGGTGGTTACCACGTCGTGCATCCTCACGTGGATTTTTTGAGAAGTTTCAATAACCTTGGTACCATCGCGTGCATAGCTTCCCCTTGCCATGCCATTTTGAGAAACTTAATAGCTCATTAGCTGTCAGGCCATGCCATGCTGTGCCATGCCGTGCCATGCCGTGTTATGCCGTGTCATGCCATGCCGCGCCATGCTGTGCCATTCACCCCATCCTTCCTGACGAATCCAGCTACCTGAACAACAACAAGCTTGAGGGATCCATTCCAAGCACCATTCCTCTGCTGCAGCAGCTCTCGTGGCTGTACGAAACGGAATCTAGCTGCTCATTTTCCTCTCCCATGCTGCGATACCCATGCAATGTTGTGATACCCATGCTATGTTGCCATACCCATGCCATGTTGCCGTACCCTGCAATATTGCCATACCCATGCCATGTTGCCATACCCATGCAATGTTGCCATACCCATGCCATGTTGCCATACCCATGCCATGTTGCCATACCCATGCCATGTTGCCATACTCATGCCATGTTTCCATACCCATGCCATGTTGCCATAACCATGCCATGTTGCCATAACCATGCCATGTTGCCATACCCATGCCATGTTGCCATACCCATGCCATGTTGCCATACCCATGCCATGTTGCCATACCCATGCAATGTTGCCATACCCATGCCATGTTGCCATACCCATGCCATGTTGCCATACCCATGCCATGTTGCCATACCCATGCCATGTTGCCATACCCATGCCATGCTGCCATACCCATGCCATGTTGCCATACCCATGCCATGTTGCCATACCCATGCCATGTTGCCATACCCATGCCATGTTGCCATACCCATGCCATGCTGCCATACCCATGCAATGCTGCCATACCCATGCCATGTTGCCATACCCATGCCATGTTGCCATAACCATGCCATGTTGCCATACCCATGCCATGTTGCCATACCCATGCCTTGTTGCCATAACCATGCCATGTTGCCATACCCATGCCATGTTGCCATACCCATGCCATGTTGCCATACCCATGCCATGCTGCAATACCCATGCCATGTTGCCATACCCATGCCATGTTGCCATACCCATGCCATGTTGCCATACCCATGCCATGTTGCCATACCCATGCCATGCTGCCATACCCATGCCATGTTGCCATACCCATGCCATGTTGCCATACCCATGCCATGTTGCCATACCCATGCCATGTTGCCATACCCATGCCATGCTGCCATACCCATGCAATGCTGCCATACCCATGCCATGTTGCCATACCCATGCCATGTTGCCATAACCATGCCATGTTGCCATACCCATGCCATGTTGCCATACCCATGCCTTGTTGCCATAACCATGCCATGTTGCCATACCCATGCCATGTTGCCATACCCATGCCATGTTGCCATACCCATGCCATGCTGCAATACCCATGCCATGTTGCCATACCCATGCCATGTTGCCATACCCATGCCATGCTGCAATACCCATGCCATGTTGCCATACCCATGCATTGGCTTCCTTTTCCTGTCTTCTCTCTCGCATCTCTTTTCCACGTGCGCCATCATAACCATGCATGCATGCACATGCATGGCTGTGCATTCTGCATGTATCCGCAGCCTCCTTCATGCACTTCCCACACACACGCACAATGCCCTTCAAGTGCACGCCGCACCACGCCGCACCACGCCGCACCACATCTCACATTCACCACTTCCCTCCTGCCCATTTCACCCAGCGCCTGCCCCTCTCGCCTCGCCCCTTCTGCCCTCCAGTTGCCTTTCCTACAACTCTCTGACTGGCAATCTCGACAACCTCTCTCCACTGACCAATCTAATCGGACTGTGCATGAATCACCCTTCCACCCACCCGTCTACTCTCCCACGCACATCTCTCCTTCCCCTTTCTTCTCGCTCCTTCACATCCCTGACCCTCCCCTCTCTCCCCAAGTCACCCTCCCACTGTCATCCACGTTTTCTTTGCTCAGACAGACCCTCTTACACTGGGCCTCTCTCACCCTCCACCCAGGTGACTTTTGATTCGACTCAAAAGTCACTGGGCCTCTCTCACCCTCCACCCAGGTGACTTTTGATTCGACTCAAAAGTCACTGGGCCTCTCTCACCCTCCACCCAGGTGACTTTTGATTCGACTCAAAAGTCACTGGGCCTCTCTCACCCTCCACCCAGGTGACTTTTGAGTCGACTCAAAAGTCACTGAGCCTCTCTCACCCTCCACCCGCCCACTCGCTCACACGATTTTTGAGGCGCCTCAACTTTTGAGGCGCCTCAAAAGCAGACCCTCTTACACTGGGCCACTCTCACCCTCCACCCGCCCACTCACACACACGCCCACTTTCCCACTCTTTCACTCCCTCACCCCGCCTCACCTCTCTTCATTTTCTCACCACTCTCGCCCCCTGCTGATCCCTCTACCTTCCACCATCTTTCCCACCTTCACCTCTTTCGTGCACTGCACCCATCTGCACCGCTCTTCACCCAGGGAGCTATCCAACAATGCCATATCCGGCCCGGTCCCCACCACTATAAGGGAACTCCCACGTCTGGAAACTCTGTGAGCTATGCGATCCATGCAGTGCGTGTGATAGAGAGTGGGAGAGGGATTGCGATGTGCAGGTGGGTGCTCTGTCTGGCGCTGCAACGCCAGTGGTGCACGGGGATATGGGAGTGGAGTGGAGTGGCAGGCAGGTACATTCTGCGGTTGTGACTTTTGAGGCGCCTCAAAAGTCGCCAGTGGTGCACGGCAATATGGGAGTGGAGTGGAGTGGCAGGCAGGTACATTCTGCGGTTGTGAGAACCTAGGGTCCAGTGAGGCCGCTGCGCCGGACGCTGCCGTTTGCTGTCAGCAATCCCCAAGGGTTGAACCAGCCTTTGTCGATTACTCCCTCCCTCGGTGCCCTCTGTCGCCCTCTCTCTCTCGCCCTCTGTCGCCCTCTCTCTCTCGCCCTCTGTCGCCCCCTTTCGCCCTTTCTCGCCCTCTCTCGCCCTCTCTCGCCCTCTCTCGCCCTCTCTCGCCCTCTCTCGCCCTCTCTCGCCCTCTGTCACTCTCTGTCGCCCTCTGTCTCCCACCTACATGGTCCACCCATCCAGGCTGGTTTCAAACAACAACCTTTCAGGTGCTATCCCCCCGTCCATCTCTGGCCTCTCCCGGCTTCTGGCTCTGTATGTGTCCCCCTCGCTTCTGGCTCTGTATGTGTCCCCCTCGCTTCTGGCTCTGTATGTGTCCCCCTCGCTACGCGTCCTCCCCTCACTGCACGTCCCCACCTCCCTTCTTGTACACATCCGTTTGTTGGTGACTAGGCTAGGCACGTTGAGGCGAGGTGACATCACAAGGTGAGTACTGGCGCCAAGAATCAGCCTAGGTGCTGTATTAATGAAGAATGCGCGGAGCGAAGTGTAGTGCAAAATGAAGTGTAGGTAAGGAAAGGATTGAGGAGCGAAGAATGCGCGGAAAAGGGGGGTTGGTGGGCGGTCGTTGGAGAGAGGCTAGGATGCTAAAAAGGTGCAGAGGTTTAAGGCTGTTCTTGAGAATTCTCAAAAACAACCTGTACCTCAAAGGTCGACAGGCTCTGAGAGTTCAACTGAGAGGCTCGTTTGACATCCCCGTTTCCTCCTCTTTCCCTCCTCTTGCACCTCCCTCGCGCATCCTTTCCCCTTCCCCTTCCCTCTTGCGCCTCCCTGTTTTCTTCCTTCCTTCCACCGGGCCAGAATGCTAGATGGGAACGCATTGGAGTCCCCTATTTCATTGAGGTGGTTTTTGAGGCGCCTAAAAAAATCCCTTTCCCTGGCCCAGGATGCTAGACGGCAACGCATTGGAGTCTCCCATCCCGTCAAGCTTGAGTGGACTGACGGCGTTGAAGAGCATGTGAGTTTTGAGGCGCCTAAAAAAAACCACAACGCGTTGGAGTCCCCTAACCCGACAAGCTTGAGTGGACTGACGGTGTTGAAGCGCATGTGAGTCGTGTTCTGCTTTGCTTCGGTACTTGATGTCACGGTTACGGCACACCACAGCGAGCACAGAGACACGAAACGTGAGACACGCTACTGTTACCGTGCCTAGTACCATTCCAACGCTGGGGGTTTCTAGCATGGGGGCCCCTAGGTTTCAGCACCACATTCACTACCACATTCGCGTCTATTCATACTCGCTCCTCCCACAATTGTTTTTGCTCTTGCTTTGTTTCCTATTCCCCCATTTCCTTCGTCCATTTCTATCGGCCCTGCCCAGGGATGTGAGCAAGAACAAGTTCTCGGAGGACTTTCCGACTGTCCTCACCCGGATGACACGAGTGAAGCACATGTGAGCACATGAGTGCATGCGAGCACCCCGGCCACTTGTTTTGCGCCTCGTTCGAGCTGTGTGCGCGAGAGCATGGGAGCAAGTGAGCATATGAGCATGTGAGTGTGTGAGAATATGAGTGCATGGGCATGTACCGGTCCACATCAGCAGACATGCGGCTTTTGTTCCTTGTCCACATGTTAACATGTCTTGATTCCTCTGCATTATACTCACATGCACCCACGTGCACACCTAGTGTCTGTGGGTGCGCACCTGAGTTTCCACCGCACCTCCTCCCCTCCTCCACATTCATATCCACAGAGGCTGTGTGTTGAGACGTCCCATATCACCTCATCTCCTCTCTTTCCCCCTCCCCCACCATCCGTCTTTGCAGGAAGCTTGGCAGAAATGACTTCACGGGCAGCATCCCTGCCTCTATCACCTCTCTCGTTTCCCTCACCTACCTGTACGCCTCCCTCATTCACACACCTGTATTCTTCCCAACCACCACACACCCGTAAGCTTCACTCACACAAACCGTGCACTTCACTTGCACACCTGTTCCCCCCCTCACTCACACACTTGTAAGCTTCACTTGCACAAACACCTGTGTGTCTCACTCAAGAGTGAGACAACGAGTGTGGTCTTGTATTCTGCAGCAAAACATCTTGACTGGGCAGCGTGACCAAGTCCTGAACAAGAAGGCGTGGGGGTGGAGCAGCCCTTATGCTGGTATGAGATACTTGCATGTGTGCGGTCCACAGGCAATCCACAGCTGCACTTGATATCCTAATGCTGTGTTGTGTCAATACTGATTACCCTTGCTCTTGTGTCAAATACTGCTGGTTGCAGCGCAGTTGATGAATGGCAGCGTGTTCTCTTCACCTTATTCTCCCGCTTTCTCTCTCTCCCTCTCTCCCTAACCCCCGATTCTCGCTTCCTCCAGTGATCTAGGCTACACGTTGCTATCGGGCACAATTCCCACGGCCATCACCAAAATGCAACACCTCTCTCGCCTGTAACTTTGACTTGCCGAAAACTAAGGACCTTCTATGCGTCCTGGGAGCAAGATGCATGTGTAGCATATGCAAGGCACTTGTGGAAACTTGAGGCGCCTATAAAAACTCGAAGTGCACATCTCTTCCTTTTCTCGTTCTGGAAGGTGACTCCAATAGAGCAACCAAGCCAGCTCCAACAGGCGTCCATTCTCCTCCGTTGACCCGCATTCTCATCATAGCAGCCTCGCTCATGCCTCTCATCCTTAGCCACCATAATAATCTCGTTTGCCCCTTGCGTCGCCCTCTTCTTGTGCTGATCGCACCTCCATGCACCCCCTAAAAGCCACCATCCTCCCATGGTGTGCTGCTTTTGAGGCGCCTCAAAACCCCCTAAAAGCCACCATCCTCCCATGGTGTGCTGCATCGTTGCTCCACCGTGCAACCACGCATTATCCCACACGCTCTGCATACTACTATCCATGCCAACCCTCACCCAGCGACCTGCAAATACCAACACTCACGGGCTCCGTCCCGGCCTCCATGGGCGCCATGCTTAATCTGCAGTACCTGTGAGCTGCCCCAACCTTCTTCCCCTTCACCAACACTTAGGGAACGCTGCTTTCCAACGCTACTTTTCAATACTGCTGTCCATTGCTGCTTTCCGCATCTCATTTGCACACGTGTGGTCCTAGGCAGGGCCCGACACTGAAACTCCTCCCTCCTGTGCGTGGCATTTTCCCCTCACCAACTCACTGCACCGAATCTCCGCTGCTACTGCTCCTCTTGGGCATGTTTCCGCTTTTGAGGCGACTCAAAAACAGAACCTCCGCTGCTGCTGCTGCTGCTGCTCCTCTTGGGCATGCTCCCACTAAAAAACAGAACCCTAAACACAGACCCTTCCCTCCCTGCCTTTTCGTTTCTCAACTTCAGAAACACCCATAGCCCCAAACATCACCCATGCGTCTTCCCCACCAAACCCTGCTCCTTTTGTTCTCCTCCTGCTCGGTTTCCCCTGTCTCACAGCTATGTCAACTACGAGGCGACGCCATGCGGTTACGGGGAGTGCGAGGTGGTGCAGTACTCTGGCACAGCCTTCTGCCGTGCCTGCACTGACTTCTGCGACACGTGCTCTCGCAGGGGTGAGGAGGAGGGAGAAGAGATGTCCTGAGTTGTTGCGCTTGAGAAAAAAATACCTTGTTGCGAGTTCTGAGTTGCCAACTGTGTGTTCGGGAGCGTGAGGAGGAGGATGCAGGGGAAGCATGTGGGTGAAGCTTCGGAAAGGAGGTGAGACGGGAGAGTCAGAACTGGGGAGGTGGGGGCGTTGGGGAATGTTTATTAGAGCGTTACTTCGGTCTCCGATTGTTGCGGAAACTTAGTGTTTTGCAGCTGACTTGAATGCTTTTTGAGAGCTTTCTGTTTCGTACTCACAACACTTGCGCTCCTGTGAGCTGGCTTGAATGAGCGAATGTGGAGGAGAGAGCATGGTTGTGGGAGCGTACAAGGTTTGAGTGTTGGCTAGTATGGAGGGTGCATGCAGGCTAGGATCCATGAAGCATGCATGAGAGTACACAGCAATCCACTGCCCCAGCCTGTTCCTGTGAGCATGCTTTGGCTTGCACGCACATGCTTGCCTGTGTATGTATGGCTTGTACATGCACCTGCTCGTGCTCGTGCGGATGCTAGCATGCGGTGAGTGTGCAAGCATGTCAAGGCCGTCATGGGTTTCAGTGTCGCACGGGCGTGACTTGTGCGTGCTACAAACACAAGAGTCAGGGGTCAAGTGTGTCCATGTGCGCATGCCATGCCACACTCACGGGTGCAGCCAAAGTGCACACACACACGTACCCAGCTCCACACACACATATCCAGCTCCAGACATCATCACACATCACATCACACCCACCTTCTCTACCCCTCCTCCTGCCCTGCCAGCAGCTCCTCCCACCCCTCCGGATTGCAAGAAGAAGCGCCGTGCCTGCTCGTTCAAGTCCTGCCCGGGCCGCATCTGCATTCCCTACGTCCGCAGCTGCAAGGGCTACAAGTGCATTCCATAGTACCAGTATTGTCTTTAGGGTGCAGTAGTTATTTACGGTAGTCATTTGTTGTGGCCTGGGGGCATGTACAGGTGTGTTTGTTTGTGGCGGCGAGCTCTAGGAATCCCTTTTTGTAAATGGTTTCAATATTAGGGCGCATTCCTGTGGGGACACTTGTGTCTCAATCCCCTTTTCCCCGAGTCGCGCATGCAAATTTACCAAATGTTGTGTCACAAACGGCAAATGTACCACGACGTAAGGAGACTGATTGGCAGGTGCAAATGGACGCTTTCTAGTGGTTGCGACCAATTGGATTGGGCCCACCCGTTTTCCCGCTGGGCAGGGTGCCAAAACAGCGTGCATGAAGTGACATTCTGATTTTGCTTGGATGTGACCGTGTGGGCGGGGAGCCCCAGTCGTTGGGCTGCCCAGGCAGAGCGGTTTATTTTCCTGCTCGAATATAGACCCACTTCGGGCGTCCAGGTGCATGCGGTACAGCAAGACATTTCGGATCGCGTGCGACTTTCAGAGTGTGATGGGGCCTCGTGTAACTCGTCCGCGACACCAGCGCAATTCACGCCGACCAATGTAAAATACAGTGAAAATTGCGCTAGTGCGATCCGCGTTTGTCACACATGTTACGAATAGTAATACCCGATATTACTATGCACTCCTCACCGTAGCAAGGAACACACAATATCGGGAATGAACGCAAGCGTCAGACGGTTGGAATTGAGTCAAAGAGTCGGACGGTTACAGCACATCTGAACCGTCGGAAGCAAACGGCATCGGACAGCTGCAGGCAGGATGGTTTTGGCGGGAACAGTTACGAAACTGTACGCGCCGAACGGTTGGGATGCAGTTGAATAAGGGAATGTATCCCTTAGAGTACATGGCTAGCTAGGACGTTTCAGATTCCCTTGTACTCATATTTATACCGCTGTATTTGCATGTTTTCATCATCTCAAGCATTTTACATTCACTCTGCTATTGAGGTCAAGGGCCCACCAACACTACCTCACTGCGTGCGAACCTTCCAGAGTAGATCCTGGGCTACGATCAACTTCTGATCGCAGCAACACAGTACAGCATATGCTGTTTTCGGGTGTCACAAAGTGATTGAGACACAAGTGTCCCTGCAGGAATGCACCCTTAGTTTTCAGATCAGGAGGGAATAAGGGCCAACTCGTTTAGACAAGTGTGACGTGCATTGGTCAGTGCTAACCAACAGAAAAGATGCGAAATACAGATCCCCAAACTTGGGAGCGAAAATCCCACTAGTGTAATGTGCTGACGAGGCACACCTCAACAACACGGGTCTAATGCGGGTAGAAGGTGCAACAAGATCTTGGTGGTGGTCATTCCCTTGTGCGAAACAAGGGCGTAAACGCATCAACTTCGTGAAGAGTAAATCACTCACATAATGGTGGTTTTACGGATAGGATGAGATGATTCAAGAAGGCCTTACAAACGACCTTAAGAATTCCCCGTTGATCATTGCGTTTCACCTACTATCGAACATGCCACCAACGAATCACATTGGTGTGACCAAAGGGCCGATCTGTTGAGGCTAGGTTGCTGTGACTCAGGGGTTTCAGTATTGTTCTAGTCTCGAACTGTGACTAGCTTTGGCTCTCGCATTCGCTGGTTTCAGTAAAAGGTTTCGAAGCGCAACCCTAACGTAAACCTTCGTCCAGAATTGGTTTTAGTGGTGATGAGTCGCCTTCAAATTGAAACCCACAGCACCGTGGTGCACATAAGCAGTTCCTTGCAACAGCACGCAATTGCAACTCCAGCAAGGCAAAATGTGGGGGCTTTTCGCGTGGGAAGGGAACGAAGAGGAAGATGTGATGAGGAGGATGACATGGCTCATTTATCGTCACAATTCACGTTTTTTTTGGCGAAATCGCGCGCATCGGCGAAAATCGTGTTTGTCTCAATTGAATCGACCTAAATTGCTCCCCGCTCGCCACGTGGGCATTTTTCTAAATTGGATGGACCTCCCTTCCCCCCGCCACCCCAGCCCCCCTTTCCCGCCCTTTCCCCACCGTCATTCGGGCAGCCGCATGCTCTCGCGTGAACTTCGGAATTGCCACAAGCAGTCACGAAAAGCAACCAACCAACCCCATGCCACGTGTAATTGAACGTGCAGGAAGCCACATCATTTGTCCCAGCAAAATTTCGGAATTTTCTGGGCCATGTATTATAACTCGAGAGGCTTATATACAGGTTGATTGTAGTGTGTCCTTCGGGATCTGGCCATGTCATTTCCGGCCTTCACGGTTTCATGATCCAAGCATTCGTGATCCTCAACGGTTCATGAACCCTTCCGTTAGCATCATGTTCCTGTGAAGCTTAGGCGAGTCTCCCGTTTTACAATACCGGGTAGACACTCAACGCAGTCATTACTTTAGGCAACTCATATCCGGGCCCGCATTAGTACTCCACTCAATAGTCATAGCTTATCTCTGACAAAACTGGTCACCATGTAGCGTCTAACGCGTGCGTATGGCCTCTAATCCCTTAGCGCAGGCCTTGCGACAGCTTAATGCGGCTCCCGAGTTCAACCCTAGGTACGACAGGCCTAATGATTACGCGCCATTGGAGCTGGGGGGCCTGTACTCTAGCCGTGATAAATGCAAGGAGGCCGTTTATGCGTACGCTCTAGAGCATCGGTTTGGTGTAAAAGTCCTTTTAGTGAAGCATAACTACGCAGTGGTTGGATGCAAGGCTTCATCGGACGGATGGTTACCCGCGTGCCTATGGAGCTGCACATATGGGCAAATCGGCCACGGTGGTTTATGGCATATTACGCGACTCGTTCCTCCGGAGATGCATACGTGTCCGTTGCATTGGAGGCAGGGTTACGCCGAGGGGTTAGCCAACACTATTCCCATCCTCGCTCGGCGATACGGCAATTTGGTCCGTGCAAATCCATTCATCTCACCCGTGGAGCTCAAAAGAATGCTCGAGGGTCATGGAAGGGTAGTGATCCACTACTGGCAGGCTTGGCGGCTTCGAGAGTACATCTTAAAGGAGCGATATGGAGATTGGAAGGAGTCCTTTCGCCAGGTTCCGTGGCTTCTCACTCGTTTCACAGTCATCGATCCGGAAGTTCAAGTGCGGTTGGACACATTAGATCGGTGTTTCCACCGATTCTACGTGCGTCCCTCTGCAGCACGGCATGCGTTAAATTATTGCCGCCCGGTTGTTGCGCTCGACGGTACACATCTCATTAGTGCGCAGAAGGCTGTGCTGCTCATCGCCGTCACCATTGACGGGAACCAGGAGATTTTGTTACTTGCATGGGCCTTGGTCGAGTCGGAGAACAAGGACGCGTGGACCTGGTTTCTGAAGCTGTTCCTTGAGGGGTTCCCAGAGTGGGCGCGTAGGGACGATGCCTCCATCATCAGCGATCGCGATAAGGGGTTGGTGCCGGCAGCAAGGGAGGTGATGCCAAGCCACACCCCCCATTATTTCTGTGCCTGGCATCTGGAGCAGAACCTTAAGCGGTTCGGCAAAGCGGCAACAGCGTTCTTCTGGCGCTTGGTGAAGTGTCGGTGTGAAACGAAATGGGTTGCGCTTGTCGGGGCCGCACGACGAGATTTTCCTGACATGGCCGCATATCTGTTCGGGCCTGTCCGGCAGCAGCCACAGCCACAACCCCAGCCGGCTCCTCAGGTCCCCCCTCCTGGAGCCCGGGCAACATTTGAGGGGGCCAGGGATTTCGTGTTCGCGGATGCTCGCGAAGGGAGGAGGGCACAGCGAGGGCAGGAGCGTGGTGGCAACGCGGGAAATGGTGGCGTCGACACCGCGTCCCAACCCGAAGGGAGTGGGTTCCCGGAGGGCAACACGTCCGCGTACAAAAGGCGTGGCGGCGGTCTGGCTGGCAGGGGGGGGATGAACGCACCTGGAAGACGGGCCAGAGCGCACGAGGGTATTGGAGTCCCATCAGGGATACCAGACGAAGGGGATGGCGGAGCGGCTGCTTTTGGCATCGGCCGTGGAGGGCGAGGACGAGCTTCATCTGGACGTGGTCGCAGAGGGAGAGGCGGTGGCGTTGCAGGGGCGGGCCTTGGCAGGGGAGGTAGAGGAGTGCCCCCCGCGGGCGATTGCGGAGGGCATGGGGGTGCCGGATCAGACTTCACGGGGGTTGGTGGTGGAGTACGGGGAGTGCCGCTCGGTGGGGCCGCCGGGGAGCAGGGGGATGCCGGCGCGGGATGGTCCGGCATTGCAGGTGGAGGGAGGGGAGTCCCGCTTGGTGGGGCTCCTGGAGGGCAGGGGGGTGCAGGAGCAGGATGGTCCGGCATTGGAGGTGGAGGGAGGGGAGTCCCGCTTGGTGGGACTCCTGGAGGGCAGATGGGTGCCGGAGCAGGATGGTCCGGCATTGGAGGTGGAGGGAGGGGAGTCCCGCTTGGTGGGGCTCCTGGAGGGCAGGGGGGTGCCGGAGCAGGATGGTCCGGCATTGGAGGTGGAGGGAGGGGAGTCCCGCTTGGTGGGGCTCCTGGAGGGCAGATGGGGGCCGGAGCAGGATGGTCAGGCATTGGAGGTGGAGGGAGAGGAGTCCCGCTTGGTGATGCTTCTGGAGGGCGAGGACGCGCCAGAGCAAGATGGTCAGGCATCGGGAGTGCGGATGGGGGGGAGCCGTTGTTCGGCCCTGGAGCAAGAGATAGTGTATATGCTGCGAGCGGTGAATTGGTAGGGTCTTGGTCCAGTCCTCAGACTGCAGGACCCAGGCGACACCAAAGCGGGCCATGCGGTGATGTTACGTTTGGGGTTGGCCTGGGCGCGAATTTCATGGGTGGGGTGGGGTCCGTTGGAAGGGGGGGCTCACCAGTGCCCTCTGGGGACGACGTGCAGCGAGCTCCAGCATCTGTGAGTGATAATGGTTTGGCATCATGCTCCACGGGTGATGGGATAGGCGCTCTCACCACTGTGGGGAACCCGGGTGCACGAGCATTTGACGTCAACACGGTCCTGCGACGTGCCCGGGAGTGGTACCGGGCAGAGGACATTGACACGGGGAGGACTACGGGCACTCAGGGATCAGAGATGGGTGGGTTTACTGAGCACTTCCACCCAGCATCGGCTCTGGCTCTGCCATGGCGAGACTGCGGGCAGCGGGGGAACATTCCTGCGCAAGGGCCGGACGAGCCAGCATGTGAGGATGATCCGGTGCCAGTGGATGCTAGGGAGGATGGGGATGAGGCGGCCGATGGTGAGGGAGAACCCGGAATACATGTGCGCACCGGGTTCTATCGTAACAGGCGCGGATCATCTTATCGCATTGGGGGAATCATGCTGCTGCACTGGGCCCGTCTTTTTGCGGTGACACTGCGTTTTGGCATCTACACAAGCAACGCCGCCGAGTCCATCAACAGCGCTGTGCGCGGCATCCGCATGCTGCCACCAACATGGCTCCTGGCATCCCTTTGGGATTGGTCTCGCGACAACTGGTACGAGAGGAAGGAGAAGGCGCGCTGCAGGGATGAGTATCTCACGGCTGCCGCATCGAAACGTCTGGACCAAAAGAAGCAGAGGTGCCAGGGGTATTGGTTCATCGGTGGGGACAACACTGTGGGAACCATCCAGACCAGGGGGGGGGAAAACGAGTTCCAGTGGCGGAGCTTCAACGTGAACCTCGATGCCCGGACGTGCGAGTGCGGGAACTGGGAGGAGTACCAGTTCCCTTGTGCCCACGCCGTGGCAATGTGCATTCTGAAGCAGCGGAGTGTGGAGATCCTTGTGTCTGAGTACTACACCACTCGCAATCTTCGCCAGACATACAACCGGGATGTGATGGGTACCTGTGTGGACCGGCTGATTATGGAGGCTCCACTGGCAGAAGTGGGCGAGTGCGATGCACCAGTGCTGATTGAGACGAGGGTTGGGAGGCCAGAGAATCACACCCGGTTTGAGGCACCGCCGCACGCTTATCGGTGTGGGCGATGCCGACAGTATGGGCACAACCGCAAAAGGTGCAAGTACAAGTACGGTGGGTACGGTCAGGCGCAGGCTGCGGTGGGGGAGGAGGAGGAGGAGGAGGAGGAGGAGGAGGAGGAGGGGGAGGATGGAACTGCTACAGGAGAGCATGGAGGGGGGCACCAAGCTGCCCCTGAATGAATGGCGAGTAAAACTGGCTTTCCCATGCGAGTATTGGGCCTTGTTTTGTGTCCTTGGATCCCTCCCGAAGCATACTTTTCAGTGACGAGAGTACTGAATGATTTAATTCACGAAACATAATTGTTCATTTGAGTGGTGCTGGTGTGCAATACTTATTCAAGAACACCCAAACAAATCAGGCCAGGAAGATAGGCGATTCACGTGTGTAAAGTGTGCACTTGACTCCGTCTGCTTTCTCCATCACCTGTGCATATAGCGTCATGATCGACCCTTGTACATGCATGATTCGAGGGCCTGGAAATCGCGGGGCGATGCCGCGCAGCTGTTCATGACGAATCATGTACTCTCCATAGTGCGTGAACGCATCTCGACCTGTCATGATTCGAACAGCTAACAAGCGCGGGGCCTGGAAGTCGCGCGTGAATGCCTACACGATGAATCATGAACAAACTCGTGGGAGTGGCTCGGAAGTTGACTACCTGCACGGACGAACATGAACTGTCATGGACGTGATGCCTGCCACATGATTCGTCGTCGGGGTTGACCCTAATTTGCGCGAAGGAACATGAACCGAGAATGGCCCCTTTATTGCGTGTCATTCGATGTGCGTATTCGTTATGCCGATGCTGTGAAAAATTATACACCCTCATTCTCTAATAAAATATGGCGTGCACAATGCCACCGCTATAATTAAAACTCCAAACATTGACTACATGTTAACACGCAACTGTGGCGCCCAGCAAAACACCATAGCAACAAAACTGATCCCACAGCAGCCACGATACTTACAGCACGCACCCCATAACTCTGGTAAAAAAACACCACTACGTTACATGGAGCATGAGATTTGCTACTATTGTCATTGTTCATAATTTCCTCAGGATCACCTTACTAAGGTAGACACTGGCGTACCACTGACCAGGAGATGATGCTAGTCCAAAGCACACCACTGACCATGATGTGCTGAGCCCTTGAGCTCAAGGGCTGAATGAAAACTCTGATTAAGGCTACCAATCGCACACCACAGACCCCGAGGCGGGGGTACTATGCGTACTCGGGACAACAAGTGAAAAGATAGTGTTTTATGAAAAATCTGTTGTACCATGCTACTCTCTTTATGCAAGTGTCTTGCGCCGGGGTTGTGGAACACGGCATTATCAATTCTGTGAGACCTTAGATACCATTTATGGCCCCTAAACCCGTGTTCATGGCCGTTGTCACTGTTTGAGTTGTTTCCTCTGCATTTCTACAACCGAAATAAAAAGTGTTGCAGACGCCGTTATAAAAAGCCACGATTTGTCACTGGTACCCGATCGTTATAGCTTATCGGGTCGCGCAGTAGGGGGGTGATAATTCGTGGCGGTGTGGCGTGCGGAACCACCACGCGTCATGAAAAATCCCGCATGACTATCGACGAGTTCATGATGGTCTGTGCTGTCATGATCGTAGGCCGTACTCCCATGTCACCACACATTGGGCCGGCTGGTGAGCTGGTGCGCTATCGTTTGGGTTTGTTGCCGCCAGGTTGGGGTCTTTAGTGAACTCAAAAACAAGGCTGACAGCCAGCACTTCAACATACTGTTAATGCTACAGTCCTACAAACCCCGCAAAGAGCAACAAAGGCCATAGAGCGAAAAACAACATAGTGTTCATGAAAATCAGCTCCAAGCAAAAGAGATTACACGACGATATGCCGCATTGGATCATCGTCACACGTTCGTCAGCTGTTGGGCTCTGACACACTGAAGACGACAACAGCAGGTTAATGTCTAAACCCTGGCTAGTGCGCACCTTGATGCATAACAACACCCCGATGCAACTAATCAATACCTGGCGGGTGGGTTGTCGCGTTGTTGCCCACATCCCCCTCGTCGCTCTCTGGCAACGACAGCGAGGCAAACGCCACCACATCAGCCTGCACAGGGGGGTTGGTCAATGTGGCTTGCGTAGAATGGGCTGGTGGGGCGGGAGTAACCCCCGCAGGCACAGGAGTTGTTCCGACTTGCACAGCAGTAGCTCCACCGGGAGGGGTGGGCTGTGCAGGTGCAAGAGCCACGGCAGGAGGGGCGATGCCTGCATTCGCCGGGGCAAGTGTGGTTGGAGCAGCTGCGGGTGCGGTTGGCGCTGCTGCCACGACAGCGGGGGGTGCAGGGGCGGGGTTGGCACCACCGAGGGAAGCAAGCTCGACGCGCCACCTTTCCCACCGCCCCCAGACGCGTGCGGTAGTGAGCTGCCGCACGATGTCGGCCGTGCAGCCATCCAGCAGGTCCATCTCCTCGCCGGTGAGCTGCCACACACGACCCCAGGGTGGCTTGCTCCGCCTGATCACGGCTGCAGCTGCAGCGAACGCGCGGGCCGCTTGCTGCTGGTCTTGGAAGTTGCCAAGAATCAGCGTCCTTGATGACCCGGGCTCAGGGACAATCTTCGCTTGCCAAGTTCCGTCTGGGAGGAGCCTAACACCCGCGTACTCCCCCGATCCACCCACTCCCCCGACAGAGTGTGATGGCGGTGGCGGCGGGCCCATACACCCAGAGTGATCCTCCGAAGGGGCAGGCAGAGCTCCACCGCGCGCACCGCGACGAGACGAGGTCAATGCATCGCCGGTCGTACCGTGCAGCAGCCTGTTGATAACGCCGTGGGCCGCTTGAATCTGATGAGAATCCCCTTGCTGCTCGAGTTGCGCAGTCGGCGCCAGGGTTTGCTGGGTGGCAGGGTCGTCGGTTCTCGCGCTGGGTCCGCCCGCTCCTCCAATACGCCCCTGCTGCGGCGGTGCTGGGAAGGCTGCAACTTGCGCAGACAACGCGGTGAGCTCGTCGCGGGTGGTGGACAAGTCGCTGGTGAGACTCTCCACCAGGAGCTCGAGCTTGGTGATGTCTTTCTCACAGTACCCCACGCGGCAGGTGATGTTGTGGATGTCGCCGACAACATCACGCAGCTTCGCGTCGATTTCGGCCAGCTCTGGAGACACTGGCTTGTTCACGCGCTTGCTGAGCGGCGGATCTTGGTGGGGCACCATAACTCCAGACCTCTCCAGGGTTGGGATCAACCGCTTGAGTGCATGTTCGACTATGTCCCCACGCATCCCCCTCCGGAAAAGGCCACCACCATAGGGCAAGGCTGACAGCCCATCGTCCAGATTAGCGAAGCCACGGGCAACCAGCTCAGATGCGTAGATGCAAACGTAGACACCACAGTCTACTTGGTTGGCCTGCATCGGGCACTGATAGTACTGCACACGCGAAAACAAACAAGGTGAGCAACATTGATGGACGTTCCATGGATGAGGTCTGTTAAAAAAAAGCTGCGCGAAAGATTTGAGTGCTTACCTCAAGCGGGACGCAAGGCATCGGATCAAGCCGCTGCTTGATTTCGGTGGCAGAGAGGCCGGGCTCCTCGGCTTGTAGCGCCAGACCGAGTAGCCTGGACACAGCAACGATGCATGCATTAGTGCATTACAAGCGGCGAAGCAACCATGCGATCATAAGCACGACGAAACTTAGGAGGCGATGCATGCCCGTGCAACTTACGTTTGGATCTCGGCGAACACCGACGGAGCCATGTTCCGATGATCACCAGTCGAGTCGAACAGGTAGGCCACCGGAAGCTCCGTGTTCCCCGATTTTATAGCAGTTGTTCTTGCCCTGCCAGGCTCCTTGACAACAACAAGGCTGAAATGCCTTGGCTCACTGCCACAATACCAACGTAAATGTAAGTACACAGCATGGCGATGCCGCGGTACGCGCGTACATCGAGATTGTGCATGCATGTCTTACAGTGTAGTAACAACTACAAGGACGTAGTTGTAGTCAAGGATGGAGCCGCCCTCGTAGCCAGTGAAGAGAACCTGTTGATTCGCCGCCATCAGATACGCTCCAGTGTCAAGCGCAACCCATGTCTCCCCGCTTGGTGTTTTGGAATGCCTGATGCTCAGCAAACTGCGCGGGGTGAATACACAGACACGGAGAGCCGGTGTTAGGCGCCGGCAGTATAGTGTGAGTGTGCTTACCCCGCGGGAACAACGCACTCACATGTTGTGGAAGTCGATTAACGCCGTGCTGAGCTCGTATCCATCCTGAATGCGCATCGCGTCGAGAGGGCTCACGAAGGCGTTTTGGCCGAGGGCGTTGTACAACGGCTTCGTTGGGAAGTGCTGACTCTTGATGGTAGGGCCGCGACAGCCTTTAGTTTGAGCTGGCGGCCCACGACCTTTGGTGAAGGCGGTGATGATGTCATCGACGGGCGGCAACACCTCCTTGTTCACTATGTTGGTTTTGAAGTTGAAGCCACCGGTGCTAGGCTGCTTCTCCGGTCCTTTCCGTTGCTTCCCCTTTCTCCTGCCTTTCCCGTGCTCGTCGGTGACGAGCTTGACGTCCGAATCGTGCGATTCACCGCCGTCGGATTCCTCGTGGCCCGACTCATCCTACCGTTTACCGAGGACCGTTTTGCTACGAAGATCCATCACACGCCCAGAACGCTAAACGCCACCGAATAGCTGGCAATTTGCAATGACTAAGGTATCGCGAGTACAAGAAACAAACCACAAAGAGCACAAAGGTTGGATGATTGTTGATAGCTATCACGGAGGGAAAGGGTACGAGAGAGGGGAGCTGTGACGGTCGTGATGTGGCATGAAAGCTCATGTTCAGAGGTTGGCGGTGAGGATAAGTTTCATGAACGCAGGATTAGGTTCATGTACGCTGTCAAATCCGCCCTTGGCAATTGGTCAGAAATCATGCTCGAGCATGACCGTCGATTGGTCGCCTGGTTGTACATTACCGTACATGATCGGTATCGAGGTACCACTCCATGTCGTTGTTACACTACCTATAACGTTGGCGCGTCCAAACGGAGCCAGTGCATGTTACTCTGCCGCGCTGAACAAATCACCAATTTTTCGACCAATAAGAACAACCACCCGTGGCGAAAGTGTGGAGGCTGGCTGGAATTTGGAAATGGTGACTCTTTGTGAGTTTTACGCCAGAGCATGCGGCTGCCCGAATGACGGTGGGGAAAGGGCGGGAAAAGGGGGCTGGGGGGGGCGGGGGGAAGGGAGGTCCATCCAATTTAGAAAAACGCCCACGTGGCGAGCGGGGAGCAATTTAGGTCGATTCAATTGAGACAAACACGATTTTCGCCGATGCGCGCGATTTCGCCCGTTTTTTTGGTTGTTAGTCCGCTTGTGCGGCTCGGAGCCGAGCAAGAAGGAAGCGGATCCTGTGCGTGGTGATGCATGCTCACAGAAACAACTGAGCTGCACTCGTGCACAGGGAGGGAACAAGGAGAAGGGAGATAGCGACAGAAAGAGGTGGTGTGGAGCCGAACTGCACGATTTTCCTGCAGTCCATCCGGTTGCTGGAGCAAACTTCTGCTCCAATTCTCCCTGCTGGAGGAACGAGTTTCCTCCAGCGTCGCCTAGCGGATGCAGCCCCCCGTCGCCTTGCCCCGCACGCGAGGGCACAGGGAGGAAACAAGGAGAAGGGAGATAGCGACAGAAAGAGGTGGTGTCGAGCCGAACTGCACGATTTTCCCGCATTACAGCGGTCTGTTCCCGTTTCTCCTCGTTCGCCATCATGACGTCATCATGACCAACAGTCATGTCGGCTGCCGAAGCGTCACGCGCAGTTTCGAGCTTCCGCGTGAAGGTGTGCCCACGCACACGATCAAAAGAACTGGCACTTGCTCATCGAAGGTTGACAGTGTCACGTCGAGGGATGCCGACGTCCCGGCGCTTCTTGGCCCGCGGCACGCGCGAGTCAGCATAGGCGTCACCACACCACCTCCATCATGGTTCTCATGGATTTTCTGTGATGGCAAATCCTAGTACAAGTATCCCAGACTTCCAATCCCATGAGTCCCACGTGAAGCAGCGCCGCCCGGCGCGCTCCGGCGTCGTCCGCGGCGCAGTCGAAGCCTCGCCGGCTCGGCGCCATGGCTGCCGCGGCTCCACGTGTATCCCACGCGAGCTCTCCCGCGCGGAAAACTCGTGGCAGAAGGTTTGATCTTCCGGGTTTCGCCAGTCGGACAAGTGCTGCGCGACGCGATCATTCTTGGCAGAACCAAAATCTTTTCGTCATCCACTGCACTGGAGGCTGGAATCTTGAGTTTCAGGCTGACATTCTCGCTGTGTTTTCTTTTCTTCACTTACAGCCCACTTGGAAACAAACACGTTCGTGTGTGTCGTCTGCAAATAAAGCTCAAGATACGGCGAAACGGCGACATGGTTTAGCCGAAATACACCACCTCGTTCCCTCCCACCCGCTTCTTCCTGCAAGAAGATTAACATTACCGTCTTCAATAGCATATGCCAGCCCACAGAATCGCATCGCTGCCCTGTATCATCTACAACACGGTGCCTTCCATTCCAAGTCGAGTTGATTAGACACAGATCTGTGTTGATACGGTGTCCGCCAAGGCGTTTCGCACTGCCGACTGCGAGTGCGAATCTTGGAAGCGCAGGCTCAGCCTTTCCCCAGGCGGAATGAGCAAAGCAGCCGTGAGTTGGTGACACCTCCGTGACCGCCGTGGTACCAGCCTTGGTCTGAACGAGTCCTCTCTCCCTTACCTCTCCTCTACTAGTCGTTGCTCAGCTTAGCTCATCTTGCCTTCCTTCTTTCCGTTCTCCAAAAGAAGACCTGTCTGGAGAGTCATGGGCGACCAAGACCGGCGCAGCTTCTCCTTCCCTCCGCCGCTGCTGCACCTCCGCCTGCCAACACCACCGCCGCAGCTGCTACTGCGGCTGGTGGCTGCGGCGGCGCTGCTTCTGCTGGCGCCGTGCCCTGCTGCCGCCACTCGCATCAACGACGCCCAAGGTAGTTCGCGCCTCCTCCTCCTACCAACACTCTCCCCTGCTCTACCACACTCTTTATCACTTCCCCTCTCTTCACGCTCCCTCCCTCTTTCTCTCACTCTCCCACTTTCCCACTCCTTTCCTCTCTCACCCCCTCTTTCCCACTCCACAGCCCAAGGTAGTTCGCGCCTCTCACCTGTACCTTATCCACAGCCTCCTCTCTTGCTGCTGATTTGATTCCTCTCCCCCCAACTCCCCCCAACTCCCCATCCCTCTCCCTCTCTCCCTCTTGTTCTTCCACTCCCCCCAACCTCCCCGCTGCTCTCGTTCCCCCTCTCCCCTCCCTCCTCCCGGTCACACCAACGCCCACACCAAAGTCCGCACTATGCTACAATTCCTCTGTCCCATCGCCATCCACATCTTTAGAGGCGCCTCAAAACTAGTTCCTCTGTCTCAGCGCCATCCAAATCCGAGTGAACGTGTCCCATATCCCACTTCAAACCCTTGGTTTCATGCAATCTCTTTTCCTCTATGCTCACGGCCGTCCCACACTCCTGCCTTACGTGCCTTTCATATGCACGCAGTGCGGCTGTTGCTGCTGCTGCTGCTGCTGCCGCCGCCGCCGCCGCCGCCGCCGCTGCTGCTGCTGCTGACCTAACCGTTCAGCGGTCAACTCAACGCCCTCCTCCCCTCCCTCTCCATCTTAAATTTCTGCCGGTTCGTGGCCCCTATCTCACCGCTCATCCCCATTCCCACGTGGCCTCTTCCCCACGAGCCCCTGGCAGCGCTGGTGCTGGAGGAGTGTGGCACAGCATGGGGATTGTCGGCGAACGGGTGGCAGGTGGGGGGCGAGTGCGACACGGCGCAGTTCATTGCCTGCGATGCCAACGGACTCGTCACTTCCATGTGCGGCAACAGGGTGGGAAGGAGGGAGGGAGGGAGGGAGGGAGGGAAGGGGGGAGGGAAGCGGGGATCGAGGGAGGGGGGGAGGGGTATGGAGGGAATGGGATGACAGCATGGTGGTTGCAATGTCAATGGAGGGTGGGGCGGGGAGAAGGTGCGGTGGACCACAGAAGCCACTGACGTGCTGACAGTGTGCTGTGCCTGTGATTCACTCTTCTGCTGCTTCTGTGCGTGCGTGTGTGCGTGCGCGCGTGCCCCTGTGTGCATGTGCATGTGTTTGTGCATGTGCATGTGCATGTGTGGCCTCAACACAACACAACAGGTTGCTGGAAAGCGAAGGTCTACATAGCTCCATCCCAACAGCTCTTGGCACTCTCACCTCTCTCACCGCTCTGTACGCCTGTCTGACCGCTCTGTACGCCTGTCTCACTGCTCTGTATGGGGCCTCCTCACCATGTGCTTCTTATTTGTCGTGTCTCAACCCATCGTCACTCGCTGCCCTTTTCCACCCTTTCTGTACTTTGCTCCAACCTGTGCTGCAACCTGTGCTGCAACCTGTGCTCCAACCTGTGCTGCAACCTGTGCTGCAACCTGTGCTGCAACCTGTGCTGCAACCTGTGTTGCAAATAATCCTTTCCAGGCGCCTCATCAGCCTTATCCATCCAACCCCCCCCCCCCCCTCTACCTCCCTCCCCACATTCTCACCCGCGTTGCTCATTCTGTTCTTTTGCTTGCTTTGCTGCAACGCGCACAGAGCCCTGTGCTTCAATGCCCTGGAAGGCCCCATTCCTGAATCCTTCAGCGCACTCACCTCGCTCGCTCACCTGTGAGAGGCAGGGTGACACATGAAGGGAGGGAGGAAGAGAGGGTGGAAGGGAGGGAGAGAGAGGGGGAGTGAGGGAGAAGAGAGAGGTTAAGATGAAAGGTGCGTTCAGAACAGTGTGCGCTCAATCCTCTCACAAATCGCCCCTGGCCTTGCGTCGGTCTCTTCCGCACCTCGTGTGCGTGCATTCATGCGGTGTGGTATTCGCCTTTGTTTGACCTGGTACTCTGGTGGTGAACCTCACCGGTTCTGTGTGGTGCAGTGCAGTGCATATGTGTTATTGTGGGATGGCTATCTCCGTCCCACTCTTTTGCACTCCTCACTTCTGCCTGCACTGCACCCAGGAGCTCACTTCCGCTTTCGATCTTGCTTCGGTTTCGATTCCCGTCTGTGCTTTCCTACCTCCTCTCTCTCAAGCAGTCCTTGCCTCTTCCTCCTCCTCATTCTCTCCCTCTCTCCCTCGCTCCATCTCTCCTTCCCTCCCTCTCTCCCTCCCTCTTCCTCTTGCTCTCTCCCTCACTTCCTCTCTTCCCCTCTCCCTCTCCTCTCTTCCTCTCTCCCTCTCTTCCTCTCTTCCTTTCTTCCTCTCTTCCTCTCATCCTCTCTCCCTCTCTTCCTCTCTCCCTCTCTTCCTCTCTTCCTTTCTCCCTCTCTCCCTCTATCCCGCTCCCATCTCTTTCTGAATCAATGGCAGTGATCTGCAGTCCAACATGCTAGGCGAGTCCATTCCAGATGCCATCTCACACATGACCGCTCTCAAAGTCCTGTGCGTGCACCACTCCAATCGCAGCTCACATCATCCTTGCATACTTTTTGCACATCCACATGCGCATGCGCACGCACATGCGCATGCACGTGCACTGCACATGGTCCCATGAGTCACCTCGCATCTTCTCACGTCACACCATCGCCTCCCATCGCCCATGGCTCATGGCACGAGTGCTTAGAGCATGGTTGTATCTCTCCCTCTGCATGCTCTCACCATGCTCCTCCATGCGCCTTCAGAGCCCACCCCAGCAGCTTTCAGCGCTCCACATCCTGCTTACACTCCCATATCTCAACCCGATGCCTCCATCCCGTACCATTCCTCCCTCCCATGCCTCCCTCCATGCCGACACCATCACCCCACATGCGTTTGTCAATGCCCTCACGGCCCTCCATCTCCCACGGCCCTCCATCTCCCACGGCCCTCCATCTCCCACGGCCCGCATGTCCCCGTCGCAGCCATCTCTCCAACAACCAGCTGTCTGGTGACATTCCCCACGCCATAAGAAAGCTCACGTCCCTTCGATATCTGTAAGTGTGCCAGCCATTGGCGGACAAAGCAGCCATAGGCAACGTCATTCTTGCTTGGAAGGGCAACGGTGCTCAAGGTTCAAAAATACGGTAAACGTAAATTACGGCTCGTAAATTACGGTCGTAATTTACGGTGGTTTTGGCAAAAATACGGTCGTTTTTTAAATGGACATTTTTTGCGGATTTTTTTTTCCAGAAATTCCTAGAAAGCTTACAACGATGACAAGGAAGGCGACAACATACTACACTACAGAATGGTGGTTTTTGCCCTGGTTTAACTTGGTGGTGTTGCGTTGGCGAATGGAATATGCAAAAGGGATGAGATGGAAGGGATGAAGATTGGACGAACGCTATTGGTTGGAATGGTTTTGCAGTGTCGAAATTGAGTTGAGTAGCGCATGCGGGCGAAAAAATCGAACGGGCCGCGAAACGACCCACCGACTTGGCGAAACGGGTAGACTTGTGTTATCCGTTCGCCAAATGTACAATTTGCCGCGTCGCACAAATTTGTACATTTGCGATTCGGCGAAATACACAAACGAGTGTGCGAATGGGCAACAAACCTGTTAAACTGTCACCAAAATGCACAATGTCGCGCCTCGAGATTTTGCTGACACTCGCGACTCGGGAAAAAAACACTCTCGAGTGGGTTTGGGGCCACAAAAATTCTCACGAACAGGTTGACGGTTGGGAAATGTTGAAATTCGCTATACACAAACTCGGTTTCAAACTTTCGGTCGTAATTTACGACCGTATTTTTGAACCAACCTAATTTTGCAACGTCAAACCGTTTTTTACCGTAATTTACGACCGTAAATTACGATACCGTAATTTACGGTAAATTTTCAAAAATACGGTCGTATTTTTGAACCTTGACGGTGCTAGATAACGTGCTTCCATTCAAACACGGGATCTTGATTGTGCCTACCTAGAATGCCTATCAATGGGCATTCACCAATACACTCAAGGGAAAAATCCGGCCCTGCAAGCATTTGCTATTTATGGGCACAACTCTATGCAATAAAACTATTTCCATATGCAAATCGCATGAATCAAGACCATAGGGAGTGCAATGCCGCCAACAGGAAGGACAGTTTGAGGGTAAAATCCTTTATTTACCATTATATTTGGATCTGTTTATTTGCTCTTTCTCTCCTCCACTCCCCCGCATCTCATGTTGTGTGTATATGCGGACGTAATCGCTCACCCGTGCAGCTACCTCGCGCACAACATGCTCACAGGCAGCATTCCCATGGGAATGGCCAAATTGGTGATGCTTCAAAACCTGTCAGTGCCATGACCCTCTCTATCCCAGTGCCTGCCAGTCCATATCACACTCTTCTCTGCTGCAACTCTCTACTCACATATTCCTGCAACTGCATGCATGCACATGCTCTTGCATTGGCCATGGTTTCTCACTCCTCGTGCTTTCCACACTCTCATGCTCCCTCTTTCACATCCCCTCCCTCTGTAGCTGTCCACTCCGATCATTGTCAACCTGCCGTTTGTGTTTTCATAAACGCAAGAATCACCTACCTCACAGCTATGTTGTGGGCGGTCATTTGATTCTCCATGTTGTGTGTCCGCCCGTCACAGCTACCTGGACTACAACAAGCTGGGAAAAACCATCCCTGACGCATTCAGTACCCTCACCAGCCTCTCCATCCTGTCAGTCCCACGCCCCCTCCCATGCCACGCCCTCCCACGCCCTCCCACGCCCTCACATTGCAACTGGCATTGCTCTCGCTGCATTGCTCTCCCTGCATCGCTCTGGCTGCATCGCTCTGGCTGCATCGCTCTGGCTGCATCACTCTGGCTGCATCACTCTGGCTGCATCACTCTGGCTGCATCGCTCTGGCTGCATCGCTCTGGCTGCATCACTCTGGCTGCATCGCTCTGGCTGCATCACTCTGGCTGCATCGCTCTGGCTGCATCACTCTGGCTGCATCGCTCTGGCTGCATCACTCTGGCTGCATCACTCTGGCTGCATCACTCTGGCTGCATCACTCTGGCTGCATCACTCTGGCTGCATCACTCTGGCTGCATCGCTCTGGCTCTGGCTGCATCACTCTGGCTGCATCGCTCTGGCTGCATCACTCTGGCTGCATCGCTCTGGCTGCATCACTCTGGCTGCATCACTCTGGCTGCATCGCTCTGGCTGCATCGCTCTGGCTGCATCGCTCTGGCTGCATCGCTCTGGCTGCATCGCTCTGGCTGCATCGCTCTGGCTGCATCACTCTGGCTGCATCACTCTGGCTGCATCGCTCTGGCTGCATCACTCTGGCTGCATCGCTCTGGCTGCATCGCTCTGGCTGCATCGCTCTGGCTGCATCGCTCTGGCTGCATCACTCTGGCTGCATCACTCTGGCTGCATCACTCTGGCTGCATCGCTCTGGCTGCATCACTCTGGCTGCATCGCTCTGGCTGCATCACCCTGGCTGCATCGCTCTGGCTGCATCACTCTGGCTGCATCACTCTGGCTGCATCGCTCTGGCTGCATCGCTCTGGCTGCATCGCTCTGGCTGCATTGTTTTTTTGTATTGCTCTCATGTCTGCGTAGCAAGAATGAACCGCTTGGCATCCTTCTTTCATCCATTGCTTCACTCAAGTCTTCAGTTGACCTCTGTGTGTGCGCATCACTCTCCCTCTCCCACCTCGTGCTCCAATCCCCAGCTGACTTCGTATCTTCGAGTCCTCCTTATTCCTGTAACTTTGTTACACAGACAACATGTGACTGTTTTGCAGGCGCCTCAGAAATAGGCACAGATTGTGTGTGTGACTGCCCACCCTGTGCTGCATGCTGCTTGCAGGTCAATGGCCAACAATGAGCTCGAAGGGACCATCCCTGACTCCCTCTCTTCCCTCAAAAGTCTCACCCACCTGTCAGTGTTCCCACATACCCACCTGCCAGTGTTCCCACATACCCACCTGCCAGTGTTCCCACATACCCACCTGTCAGTGTTCCCACATATCCACCTGTCAGTGTTCCCACATACCCACCTACCAAGGCTTAGCCAGCATGGCATGTCTGTCAAGGCGTAGCCATTACAGTTGCTGTCCCGTCTTTCCTTCCTTCAGCATCGAGCCCTCTATCCCGCCGGTCCCTCATCCATATTCTATTTCAACACCCTCTCGTTCGTCCATCTTCCTTCTCTCCCTCCATCCCCTCCCTCCCTCCCTCCCTCCCTCCCTCCCTCCCTCCCTCCCTCCCTCCCTCCCTCCCTCCCTCCCTCCCTCCCTCCCTCCCTCCCTCCCTCCCTCCCTCCCTCCCCCCTTCCCTCCATCCCCCCTTCCCTCCCTCCCTATTTCCTTCCCCCCTTACGTCCCTCCTCTCCCACCCTGCCTACCTCTATGCTAGTGCGTACGCAACCACACGCACTCACTCACCGTTCACTCACGCTACTGCTCTGTACCACACTCCAACGCTCAATACCACTTTCCGCGACGCACTGCCATGTCCCGTCTCTCCTCTTTTCTAAACGCTTTTCTTCCTGCCTGCTCTTCCTCCTCGCCCAGTGTGCTATCCAACAACAAGCTGACAGGGGACATACCCTCTTCTATAGGCGCCTTGACGTACCTCTATACCCTGTGAGGGAGGGAGGGAGGGAGGGAGGGAGGGAGGGAGGGAGGGAGGGAGGGAGGGAGGGAGGGAGGGAGGGAGGGAGGGAGGGGGCGGAGGGAGGGAGGGAGCGGGTGAGGGAGGGAGGGAGGGGGACGAAGGAGTGAGTGTGTAGGGAGGGCGTACAGAGGGTGATGCAGATCATTGGGTTACCTTGTTGATGTCCTCCCAAGAAAGCACAAGAGAGAGGTGGTTACCACATCATTTTCCACGAGCTGGTTACCATATCAATATCGGGAGGTGGTTACCACATCAACCATCTTCACAGGTTAGCAAAGGAGGTGGTTACCACTATGCCCGTGCTCACATGAGAGTTCTGAGAAATCGCAACAACCCTCCTTCCGTTGCACACACATGTCGTACCTTCCTCTTGTCTTTCTGTTTGGAGAAGTCTAACAACTCGTTTGTTTGGGGGTGGTACATTTTAGGGTGTGATACATCATGGGGTGTGGTGCATTTTAGGGTGTGGTACATTTTGGTCAAAGTGGCCTCTTGAACAAAAGGTTCGAAAGAACGAATGATTAACAAACAGTAGACAACATGTCAAAATGGTTATCTGCCGTGCACTGTGCTCATCTAAAGTTTGAATGGCTTTTGAACAATATTGTTCCGCAGCCTTCCATGCCATTCCATCCATGTCATGCCGTGCCATACCATGCCATCCCACCCCATGCCACCATTTTGACTCGGTATTGCTAGTAACCCCCCTCCATCTTTCTACAACACTTTCCGCGACACACCCCCATGTCCGTCTCTCCTCTCTTCTGA